TTCTACAATAGCCCGTACAATTTGCCGCACTGAATACGCTGTTCCACACCATATACCGGAGATTGCAGTCAACCGTTTCTCAATTCGTTCGACCTGAATCTCACGTCTTTTCGCGCCGAAGACGCGTCTATTTTGTCGCGTTAGTGCCCGCGTAATTATATACAATCGTTATCGCCGATTCCGATGTCGAGGGAAGTCGTCGTCGTTATCGACATTTCTGACACGTCAACATCCCGATATAAACGTAACGGCGAACCCGGTAGAAATACGAGACGGAAATAACGTTAGATGGACAATACCTCGATGACGCAGTTAATGCATTCTCTCTTCATAGTTCGACCGTTACTCCAAGTTTTACAGCCCCGCGCTCGCGTTACATCCCGGTCCGAGGTTTATCGATATTCCGGAGAACAATATATGCGCTTTTTTCCCATCATAATAATCTCAATATCCACCGCCCGCGTTTCAACGCGAGCTTTTAGCTTAATGAGAGAATGGGCCATTGAAATTTGGTCCGGCTTTAACGAGGTCCCGCTTTAAGTTCGCTGCCAAATTACATACGTGACGTTCTCAGAATCGATGCGGACTTAGTTGTAATTAGAAACGTACGACCATTGCAAATCGCAAAAATTGAGGAATTACATTAATGATGTAAAATGTAAGTGGGATAAATTAACTCACTTATTAATTTTGCGAATTGTTTGCTTCAACGCAGGGAAATCCGGTCGGTCCGCAGAATCTTGCGCCCAGCATCGTCTCATTAGAATGGCTACCTGTAAAATGAGATTTATCTTGTAAATTTATGCTCTTCTTTTGAAAAATTCACTTTGAACAAACAAACGATTGATAATATATATGTTAATAATATGATGAATAATATGAATATTTGATGATAATATGCAATTGATAATGCTAATGAACGACATATTGATTACCGCGGGCAGATAAATCTTGCATAAATATTATTAAAGTATAAACGTAAATATATTTAAAATAAGCGTGAATATGTTTAAAATAAAATATGTTAATAATATTTACCTCTTCTTCGACGGAAGCGTCATCGATTACAGGTCTTAAGGGTGAACCGCCACCTCTTCTGACACCTTCTACTATTTCTGCAACAGAGACGAAGCGTGTCATATGATATCAAAGCGATGTAAAAGTTCAGACAGCAATGTAAAGGAATCTTTTTGTGAAAAAGGAAAAAGATAGAAGGCGCAGAAAATAATCCGCTTGTTGGACGTAAAAGTATCGATTGCGAATGTGTGACGATTATAGGACAATGTGTTGAAAGACAATCGAAATGTAATACCACGAGGTATTCCGCAGTGTTGTAATTACTCAGAATTGGAACGTGCGATCGCGCGAAGCTACTTTCATATCGGCTCAGTGGAGTAGTCCACGCTTACGTCAGACGGCGGTGTTTGCCTACCAGAGAAAAACTTTCTCCTTCGTCCGCCTATCAACGAGCCTCACTACTGTTCACATATCATTTCAAAGAGCACGCAGTTATAAACTTCCCGTTTGCCGTTTAATATTCCCAAGTACAATGTCGCTCATCGACGATTTATTGTAGCGTATCTAACCGACATGAAAATAAATTTTTGCAATAAGATACATTCTTCACAGACTGACATGGAAACGTCTCGAGATACCAGCGGATCGAGATGAGACACGTTATATAAGAATCTGTCTTATCAAGAATAATTTTTATTTCTTTTTATTTCGAGGTTGAGAAAAGGTGAAAGATAAGCCGGTTTAGATCGTATTTAAATTTTATTTGCTTATATATATATATGGCATAATTTATTTCTACATTACGGGTGTAAATTTCCTTTTGCGAGGAATGCAGTACACGAATAAGCATAAAACTGTATCGCTAAATATAATTAGGGAAATCTGACAGAATTGTCGATTAGATAAAATTATAAAATGTGACGGTATTCGCGGGCGTTTGAAGCTATATAATCATCGACAGGAATGCTTTACATTTCCGGTCACATATATGACATACGCCAATTTCATCACGGGTAGAAATACCGGATGGAGATCAATTTACAATAACGTTTACACATATACGTTCATGCCGGAATTCCATCCTGTCTAACATTGATATATCCGTTCCATAAAATCACAGAATTAGTTAAACGGTTTTCTGATGTAAAACTAGTCATACCGATACAAGAAGCGAATTGAGGTAAACCGACAAAGAGAAATAAATGTATTGATAATTCAGTTTCTTTTATAACTTGCACGTACAAAGAAGTGGAAATACGTTTTTCCTTCATAATCACATATTGCAGTTATTTCTTTTTTAAATAAATTAATCTCGTTTAATCATCGGTCAGTATGAAACGCAAGCTTTTGCAATTGAAAAGTGATTGAAACGATACAGCTATTTATAATATTCAATTTATATTTCTGCTTATTCAACTAATATACCTTCTTCATTGTTATTCTGTTTCTTTATAAATTTATTTATAAGGAAACTGAATAACAATGAGACTTATAAGTTTTAAGGACTTAAACAGTATAACAAATAATAAAATAAACATTAAAATTACTTGAAATATTCCAATTATGAAACGATCTACAGAGAAAGAAAATATTTGCAAGCAATTCCACATGTAGAATATCCAAATATTTCAGCTTGATTTCTGCGTATCGTAATACACTCCCTAAATTCCCGGAATAAAAGATTCCGTTAAATTAATGATACGCAATTTCTATTAAAAGAAGGAATAAACAATGAAATTTGAAAAGAGTAATTTGCAAGCAAAAAATTGAATAACTGTATAGATTAAAATATATAAAAAACATATAAAAAACATAAGAAAAATATAAATAATGTATGTATAAGTTAATTAATTAAAGTATATACTAATAATAATAATAATTAATATTTTAATTACTAGAAATTTTTAAAAAATATATGCAAAAATATGTACAAAAACTATCAAAAAGCTAAATTAGATAAAACATGTTTACATTTATTAGAAATAACATATAAAAGTTCAATAACATTTAGTGGAAAAGTGACAAAAATGTGAGGCACTTTGAGCTATTCTATTCCAATTATTGCCCCGTGGAGCGTTGCATATTTTGTACAATTCCTCTATGGTAATGATTTCGACATCAATTTAGAATATGTATCACCTGAAATATCTTTTCTAACAGTATTCCGTACTCCATAACACACACACACACACACACAGGTGCAAAAAGTTATCTATTTTTGTCCGAAATTAAAATTGAGTTATATTCCGGAGGAGGTGTTTATCTTCGGAAACCGGAAAATGGCTGCTAATTTGATTGGATATCAAATTCGACTACAGGAAACCGAATCCGTGTACGAAGGATAACGGACACGTACTGTGCCTGTAGATGTCCTCGAGGAACAGGTTGCAGGACTCGCAGTTGAGGGTGCAGTGAGGCCTGCGGACCTCGAGGAGAGGACTGACGGCCCTCCTGGGACTCGCCCCGCCATCGGGGCTCGTCCCTGGCACCTGTGGCAGAGTCAGGCTGCTTGTGCTCGAGGCATTACTTCTCTCTGCCATTCTATCTTCGCCCTCGAAGTGCCTGGCCGTCGATCAAGGGAGAGCCAAACTGCCTCGCCGGACAGCCCTTGAAAAAATTTACCGTCGCGATATCGGATCTTCCCTCCTCCTCATCTCTTCTCCCGTACTTCGCGTACGTATGCGTGCGTGCGTGTATGTGCACGTAGACACGCACGATGCAAACGTATTACACTTTCGCCGAGTCGGCATACCCGATACGATACGATAGAAATTTATACGACAGATAGGACTTTATAACTACGCGAATATATTTCCTCCACACACAAACGTGAAATTTCGCGGCTGAACAATCAGTGTGGTATATCATGCGTGAAAATTCACTCGTGAATATCGCGTGTCGCTTTTTGACAGATGAAAAATGTTGAAAAGCGTTTCCTTGATCATTGTGGCGCACAGTGAAAAAAGAAAATTTAAATATAGATAGAGAGGAGACATTCACTGCTTATGCTCTTTGGGGCATGTATTAAGAGAGCAAATGTGAGAGAAAATGCGAGTAAGACAGATCGTAAATTATTCTTGTAAATTATGTACCTTGTAAATTATGTACCATGTTTTTACCTTTTGTTGATAATTGCGTAGATAATATTTAGAGCGTGTAATTGTATAATTTTTGTTAAGATATTTATGTTTAAGATAATATAATATAAATCTAACGCTAAATTTAAATCATCAAAGTATTAATATATAAAGGTTATATCACGTTTGTCATAAATGCAATTAATTTGTTGTCTTACTACGCATAATAACATATATTCCATTGTGTTTATCTCGAATGTAGTACAACAAGCATTTTATATAAAATTAATTTTCATTTGTCGTTTAACATGCAAGAGAAAGTGAGGTCTGTTCGACCCTTATTAGGTAAATAGTATTTTGGCAATATATTAAAACATTTACCATTCGTCTTTCAAATGTGTACTTATCTCTTTTCATTTAAAAACATGCATTATTTTTCAACTGAAGTAATATTTATTAAATATTTCAAATCATTATGCGTTTCATTTTCTCAAAGATTACATTAAAACTTTAATTACGCGAAATTACAATAAAATTTCAAGTATCTACTCCATTGCTCCATTATAATTGCATAGTTGCTCGTTGATATTTCACGGCCAATAACGTTTCAGATAATAACGTTTCAAATAATAATCATTATAACAATCAGATTGAACGAGCAATTAAGACAGACAGAATTTCATTGAAAGATTAACTACGTTTTTACGAGAAGGAATGGTTTTATAAGAAAAAAATGTATTCAATGATGACATCTAATACCGAGCATAATTATCCCGATAATTATCTCTGAATAAGATACTAATTTAGTACTAAATCGATTTGTAGAAGTTATATTTGTGGAAGTTATATTATAGAGCTAATGAGTGAAGCTATTATCCGAAAGCTTTCCTCGGAGCATTCGAGGTTGAAACAAGCACGATGAGCATCTTAAAGTTTAATTCGCGTGTAACGATATTACAGTCGATTTAGTCGTCTGGAATGGAATTTCGTCGAAAAGTTATATCTTATTGGCCTTGAATCATGGCACTGACTTTGATTTCTTTCCTCTTACTCGATTCCTTTCCGACATCTTTATCTGATCGTTTTACGATCAATGACCCTGTTTTCGTTTGAGTTTATGAGTTCCTTGCTTTTGAAATTTCGTTGGAGATACGCCAATTTCCGTGAGAAAGAGTCGTTAGATTAGATTATATCTAATTTTTATTTAATAATTTCCCGTCTTGAGATGCAACTTAAAAAAAAAAAAAGATTGGATTACTAGCATTTTTGCTTGAAAATGAAAAGTAAGACCGAGAGTTGAGAGTAACTGAAAATCGATCGAAAAGGAGAACCCCGAGAACAAACTCGAAAAATAACGAACTATTTCATTGAAACGCTGAATATAAATACTTTTCCTCGCTGTTCGTGAAGAGCGAGAAAAACTTTTCAGAAATCGAACGTATTATCCGATTAAATTGTTTCGAGTGATAACCCATAGTTTCTCTCTCTCTCTCTCTCTCTCTCTCTCTCTCGATTTAGCAGGATTTCGCCGCATTAGGGAACAAACTCGCGTTTATGTCGTCCCATTCTGGCCGGGTCTACCCCCGGGTCTTTGCCACCACTTCCACGACTGACCTCATTAAACTTTGTCCTACTGCATACGTCGGGCTTAACTTCCCCTACACCATCGTCACTGTACACGCTGTATCTTTCGTCGAAGGCGTCAAATCACAAAAACGTTCGTGAAACGTTCGGGAAGTTGTTTCGCTCATGTCGCCGTTTCACGTCGACCGTCGAAAACACACCTCGCGGAATTAATGACCGCGAGCCGCGAGCCGCTCGTAACCTCGATTCCGCCTCCGAGTAAATTAGCACGCGCGCTTTTCACCGTTATTTCACAGGAAATAAAGACGGGACGTTGCGCGAATGAAATATTCATGATACAAGAAGCTCGACATTAACGTGGATATCGATATTGGATACCCACGGAACTGTAATCGTTATATAATGTTTATATATAACGCACATTTATCCCCCTCCCCCCGCCTTACGATATACTTTCCATTGGGTTTATACAACGGAAAATCTAGATATCAAAAAAAATTAGATCTTAAAGTTTTATGTAAATAATAAAACATTCATACAAATTAATTAAAATGTTTTGATCACTTTTCGTTTGAATATCTCTTCGCGAAAATCATTGTTGAAGCGAGTCGTTTACTCCAAAGTTTGAGGCTAATATTCCTTTTTCAAAACAAAAATTTCATTCTCCTCTGGGAAATTCTTCTGAAAACTACGTTTTCATCACGGCCGCATAAACAAGAATCACGAGCGCGGAACTTCGAAGAAGAAAAGCAAGATCATCGCGTAGGCGAGAAAAAGAGATACTACATTGCAATTTCATATTGTTACAAATATGCGACAACGGACAACAAATAAGACGAGGTATCTCTTATAGCGGCATTCTCGATGTGTAAAGAATAAAAAAAAAAAAGATATAAGTTTCGCCCGTGACGGCGATAGGAAATAGGAACGGAAATAAAAAGTTGCAATCGCGGACCGTGTGAGCAAACGGCCGGAGTGAACTCGCGCAGAAAATGTAGCGGATCGCGAAACGGGTAGTTTACGATCCTGTCCGATCGGTTATGCGATCTATCACTTGTCGGGTTACCATGCGCGCGACCTCTCGTAGAGTTTCTCTCCTCGATCTGTCAGCAAATCGCGCTCACTTTAAGCCGGATCAAACCGCATCGCGTGTGTAATGTAGGTGTGAAGTTAAATCTACCAGTGATCTAAGTAAACGGATAGACCGACTTTCGCTAATGCTTTTAACGAATTGACGCCGAAAGTGCTATGAATATTAATGAAACTTTCGATTCTGATATTTACATCATCAGTGATTCACTTTGTACAGGAAAAGAGATTAGAGTTTTTTGTTTTTTTTAATTCATTCAAATGGAAATCATGCGCTCTCAATGTCGCCAAAGAGCTTGCTTTAACCGTGAGCAAAAATTATCTTTATTTAAGGAGAAGCTCCCCCAACAAAATTAAGAATATATTTTTCTTGATGAACCTTCCTTCTTCTTTACCCTTTTCTAACCCTTCAAGGAATTCACTTCCTTTCCCCAGTGGAAGAGCTTTAATACTGACGTAGCTCCGTTCCGTCTACCGAGGGACCTCTAACACGGTCAGTGGCCTCTTTCTCTCTAATACGGTCACCGGGATTTATTTCCTCGCGCTGTTTTTCCTGACGTTTCATGGTGCAACGGTAATTGTTTCCGCACGATTGTAACGCGGATATTATACGGAAGTGCGTCGACCCGGTCTTGCGGCGGTCTCTCGGAATCGATACGAACGCCGATTAACCGGCGATTAAACGGCGAGTAAATCACGCGACGGAATCAATTCTAACGAACAATCCGACGGATTCCGACGACACATTTATGCGATTACACGCATAATTATGTAAAAAAAAAAAAAGAAGAAAGAGGGAGGAAGAACACAGCGCGTTGTGCACGCACGTTGTCGTCGGGTATACCGCTCAGCGAAAGATCTCTCTCTCTCTCTCTCTCTCTCTTTTCCGTCCAGAACAACACCTACGACTCCGTTATTAGGCCGTGGACCGGAGCATATGTGATGCCCGCTGATTTCACGTGTCGCTCTCGAAAGTACGGTTTTTTTTTTACGCCGAGGAGATAGAGAGGAAGGGAGAAGAACGATCTCGAGAAGTGTCTCGGCGCGCGCGAGAGAGCCGGTCGTATGCGTTCTAGGACGCGTGAGAGCTTCGACTGAGCTTTCGGACCTCGCTTCAACGTGCTTCTACGAAACTCGCGACACATTTCATTCTGTGATCGATCCCGCGAGCTTGCAAGCTCGTGCGAGAACTCCGTTATCGGTCGCGCAAACAGCAGCGTGCCGTTGATCTTCCCGGAGGATCGAGGAGGATACGGCGCCCTTCGGTGGTAAAAGCTCGCTTCGTTTTGCTCCGACACTCCGAATATTACCGAGTGAGCAACATTTGTTCGATATAGATACGTCAGACGAGCTTTTCTCTCGTTTCGAAGCCGTCTGTCGGATCGTGCTTGCAAGCTTATCCACCGTTCCAGAGTTCCACTTTTCTGGTCACCGATATTTGATATCAATGTCCATGAAGATATTTTGATTATGTACCTTTTGATTATATATGTTTTATGAATTAATTAATTAATCATCTGCTTTAATTTGTGTATTAAAATTTATTGGTAATTTTTTGCGGTAAGAATAGATTTTCTAATTTTACGTAGTTGAATTTTACGTTGAGATAAAAAATTTGGCTGGTCATAATGAATAATGGTCTCTCAATTTATTTTTGAAAATTTCAACAATAGATATTACATATACAATTTGCAAGACAATTGATATTTTTGTTTTGTCTTAATATTTAAACATTATTTATACAATTTGTTCTGAAAACAAACGATTGTTGGCAACAAATTCTGACAGAAACTTGAAAGCTGTTCCAAAATCAAGAAAGCTTTCTAGAAAGCTTTAACAGGTATTGATAACCGACAGTCGATAAAGCAATGAACGAAATGTCATTTCTCACTAAACAAAAATCTTCTTTAAAATATTGATCGTGGAATAAAAATGTAAAATATATGAATAATTTACATTTTTGTTGTCATAAAAATTGTATTAGATTACTTTAAAAGCAATTAAAAGCTTAACGATTTTTTTCCTACAATCAAAAGCTTTTAACAGAAGTATTTATCATATTGACATTCTTTTAATAAAACAGTAAGTGAACTGAAATTGCGTTGCACCGTAGAATATGCTGGCAATTTCATATTGAAAATCGCCAAATTAATTTCTGCATTTGGTTTGCGCATAACGTTAATTAAAAATTGAGATCACGTCACTTTTTTATTAAGATTTATACATTACCGCTAGCCAAATCGTAATATGTGAGTCATTACAAATCATGTCACGCGATATGTTCGTGATCATATTTCAGAACGTGCATACTGATTTCATAAATAAGAACGCAAAAAGTCAATACTATGTGAAGCGAAATATACGTATATAATGCATGAACTTATATAATGAACTTATATAATTTAAAATTCAAATTTTCTTCAGTCATTCTTTAAGATGCCTGGACGAAAATGTTCGTAGAAACCGTTATGAAATAAAATAACGATATCCAATTTGAATTATGTTTATTATGCGTTCTTCTTTTATCCACTGAATGTATTAAATATTTTTGACAACGTTTTCTATCATTACAAAGCAATGCTACGAAGAAATTCCTTTTTGATCTTCATCATATATCACTGACGCGTGAAAATGTATTTTTCTAATTAACACTTAGTACGCATATATTTATTTTTACATAAATTTACATGTATGTACATGTTTATATATGTACTTTATATACATATGTCTATGTAAGTTCTATATAAAGCTTTCTCTCATATCAATAATTTGCTTATCGACGTTGTACAAATTTTTGATCATGTAATCTTTTAAATAATAAGAATTACTATAATATATACTAATTCTATATAACAGTCAAATCTGTTCTGTTTCTTTCAAATTAACTTAACCGATTAACTTAATGCGAATAATGCATATTGAAAGAAGTAACATCCGAATAAGAGACTGTTTTTATTCCCGCAATACGGAACGCGACGAGAGGCAAGTGCTTGGTATCCGCGATTATCTCGAATGACGTTAAAGACTCACCCTTTGGAGAGAGTTCGTTATTGTCTCCCAAGTAGAATGGCCCTTGGCGCATCACGATCTCGTGAACGATTATAGCGAAGCTGTACACGTCGCCTTTCTGAGTGCCCTCGGGCGGTCGTCTCTCCATCCTCAGCAGCTCTGGAGCTGTCCACAGCCGTTCTGCAAATATCGAATTTCCTGCTCTAAAAATCAGAGCGATTTATCGCGATCTCTCCTCCCTTTGCCACGCGTTCGTTCGTTCGTTATCGCAAATATAAGTTACAATATTTGCGGAGGAACTGTTACAAGTGTTTGAAGAAAAATAGAAAAACATCGAGATAAAAAATATTTGCGTTTAAAAAACTTTTTGATATTTTATATAAATCATCGATTAAATAAATGTCTCTCCCTTTCACTGTGTTACTTATTGATAAACGTTCACGCGCGTGATAAAAAAAAAAAACGCGCGTTCAAATAGTTACATCGCCAAACGAAAAAGCCAGACGAAAATGGAGATAATGTTTAAAGTAAACGTACAAAACGTACAAAACTTTCTCGTGTTGCCCGCGTTCCTACACGTTTGGAAAATATTTGGCGTTGCAACTACGATCGTTGGGAAAATATCGTTGCGCGAGATCGTCCTTTACGAATCCCGAATTTTACAAAACACATACTCCTCCAATAGGCGTAGCTGTCCTTGTCGTCATCTTCATCCGTGCTCGTTCGTCTCAGCTCGTGCAAGCCGAAATCGGCGATTTTCAAGACGAATCGCGAGTCAACGACGCAGTTCGAGGACTTGAGATTACCGTGACTCTTTAATTCCGACGCGTGGAGATATACCATCCCACGCACGATATCGTGTATCAGGGATCCTTTGAACACGCGATCGAGCTTTATCTGCTCGTTCTCTAGTATATCCTGTCCAACAAGAAAGAATTAAAATATCAATTCGCGGGATCGAGATTTTATACAATTTTTTACAATATTTTCGAAAAACATATATATTTGTTCGAATATATATTGCACGATTGAATATTATTATCATATATTTGTATGTTTCTCAACGCTCTATATATATATATATATATATATAAATATGACAAATATATATATGACAAAATGCTCGTAAGTTTCATGCAGC